TTTTTTAAAGATTTAATATAGATACAGTATTCTGTCTGCACGCCAGAAGAGGGCCCCAGATCTCATTACAGATGGTTGGGAGCCATCCTGTGGTTTCTGGGAATTGAACTCAGGTCCTGTGGAAGAGCAGCCAGTGATCTTAACCAGTGAGCCATCTCTCCAGGCCCTGTTGGTTTTTTGTTTTGTTTTGTTTTATTTTGTTTTTTAATGTCAGATCCTTTCCCTTTTTAGTGAGCTGCTTGTGGTTTTTATTGTTACTATTGTTGAACTGTGAGAGTTCTTTATATATATTTGGCACACATTCAGATGTACAATATGTAACATTTTTTAGCACTTGAAAATGATCTTTCCACTTTCTTGATACTCGGTCTATTACTGGTTGATAGTGCTTTAACTGTACATAGTCTGGAGAAGTAGAATGTGATCTTTGATGTCTGGGTACAATACAAAATGGCTAAGTCAAGCTATTTGACATCCATTACCTCAGTCATCTCCCATTTGTTATGGTGAGACATTGAAACTCATCTTGGCTGCTCTGAGAGATACACTCTATTGACTACAGTTCTCTAACCTGCTTCTCTTTCCAATGTGAAATCTATATCCTGCTACCCACATTTCCTCACTGTTTCCTCCCCACAGCCAGTTCCTGGTGAGCACTGTTCAGTCTTCTTTCTGGGTAGAAGTTCGGCTCTTTAGCTGGGCAGGTGTTTCCTCTGAGATAAACATTTGGTTGAGGTCAGAAGGAAAGCAAACTCACAAGGCTCAGGAAGCTCCTGAAACTAACAGTACCCACTCGCCTCTCCCTGAGGTTGCATAGAGTAACTGTGTCTGGGACAGTAGGCTTTCCCACCTGCCAAGCTGCCTGTGAGTGGCACGGGGAGCTCGGGGCATGCAGCTTCATGATCTGTTACCCATGCTGAGATGAGCTTGTCTGTGATGCGGCTGTCTTCCAGTCATCCATGTTCCTAAAAGTAACCCTAAAAAACTCCATCTCAGAGCCGGGCAGTAGTGGCGCACACCTTTAATCCCAGCACTCGGGAGGCAGAGGCAGGTGGATCTCTGTGAGTTCGAGGCTGGGCTGGACCCATAGCCTCCAAAACAATACAGAGAAACCCTGTCTCGTAAAAAAAAAAACCCTCCATCTCAGTAAGCCAGACTTGAGGAAGTAGTTTAGTAGTCTGGTCAGGTTTGGTCCTCTGGAGAAGCCACACAACATGGTTGGCATCTGAGCAGGGTTTGACAAAACCGAAGATGAGTTGAGGAGATATGATAACAAGCCCGCTGTAAGAGGCCTCAGAAAGGACTATCAAGATGGACAACCAAGGCTGACCACTGTAAGGGTGGAATGTCGGTGAAGCATTAACATGATGCCTAGCTTTCCTCATGGGACATGGGATGGCACACCCGTTTGATGTGCCAGTGACATTCCATGCGGTAGGCAGGAAAACCAAAACCAAGCACCCTGAGAACGGCATGTCCATTTGGCAGAATCCCAGAGCAGCCATCTTTTTCTTCTTGGTATGGGATGGTGTTGTAGTCACTTTTCCATTGCTGTGAAGACTCAGTGGCCAAGGCAACTACAGAAGAAAGTTTATCTGGAGCTCACAGCCTCACTGAGGACCATGGGAGCACGGAAGGGGAAGAGAGCATGGTGGACGCGATGGACCCCACCAGTCTGTCCTGAAACACAGGGCATCGCATGTTTCAGCACACAGGAGGAGACTTCACAGAGTTCAGTACAAGAAACGATGATGACCACTGCACACTCTGCCCCTGAACTGCCTGAACTGGAAAAGGCTTCTAAACAAACAGTCAAAGCGCCAACCAGAGCCTGGGTCACGAGGACTCTGGTCTGAGTATGTAGGGAGAGAGGAAAAACTGAGTGATCTAACCACCCATCCACTCTAAGACAAAGGCTGTGTAACCTGAGGGCCTAGGGCAGAATCAGTCTGGGATTGACTGGCTTATAGGACCTATTAGGGACACTGTTACCATCACACAAAATCCCCAGAAGTATTAGGATGTGGAAGAGGACAGAAGGACAGCTATTTCTTTTTTTAATAACTTATTTAATTTTATTTTATGTACATTAATGTGAAGGTGTCAGATCCCCTAGAACTTGAGTTACAGACATTTGTGAACTGCCATGTGGGTGCTGGAAATTGAACCCGGTTCCTCTAGAAGAGAAGCCGGTGTTCTTAACCGCTGAGTCATCTCTCCAGCCCCAGGACAACTATTTGTAAGAAAGTTGGGGGTGCAGAGTAACATTAGATAACCAGTTTACTGAGCCACCGGCAGTTGGAAGAAGCGTGGGACAGGGAGAGGGCCTTAGTAGCTTTGCAGAGGGCCACAGTAGGACCTATTTTTCATGAGATAGAAGTTCTGTTGCATCTGAACGATTTGGACAAGCATGCAAAGAAACTCTGCAAAGTATAAAATCACATGGCTGACAAGCCCTTGATGCCCAGAAGCTTTCCGTTCTCAGGATGCTGATGTGTTGTTCGGCTGCTATGGACACCTCTGCTTTGCTGCCACAGTCAAGGAAGCACAGCCAGACCCAAAGTCATGAAGCTTTTGCCTTTTTCCAAAAGCTTTTGAGGTTGTCGTTGTGGGATTTAGATGTCTAATCTGTTTAGCGCTGTTTTAGCAGGTGGTGCTAGGGAAAGCTATTTGGTCTTCCAAACATCGTCTGTGGAAAGGGGATCTTTTCCTGCATTTGTGTCTCGGGACCTTTGTCAGAAGTAGCTGAGGGGTGGTCGGGAAGCTTCAGCAGACAACGGTGCCTGAAGTCAAGCATAACCACCTCAGTTTGGTCCCCAGGACCCACAAGGTAGAGAGAGATCAGACCCCCACAGATTTCCTCTGATGTCCTCACGCAGCCCATGGCCGGTGCCCAAGCGCACACTAACACAAAACAAATACATACATGTAAAAAATCATTTAGCTACAGGGAAGCAGTTGGACAAAGGAGTATTCTGGTTTGGGGGGTCTTGATTTGTTTTTTTGAGACAGGGTTTCTCTCTTTAACCCAGGCTGCTCTAGAACTCACTTTGTCATCCAGACTCACACTTCCCCTCACCCAGCCAACCTTAATGAAGAAAGCCCACTCTGAGAAGGAACAGATAGGGATCACACTACATGCTGATGAGCTTCCCCAGGATCACACCTCATGCTGAGTGAGCTTCCCCAGGATCACACCTCACGCTGAGTGAGCTTCCCCAGGATCACACCCCATGCTGAGTGAGCTTCTCCAGGGATCACACCCCATGCTGAGTGAGCTTCCCCAGGATCACACCCCATGCTGAGTGAGCTTCTCCAGGATCACACCCCATGCTGAGTGAGCTTCCCCAGGATCACACCTCACACTGAGTGAGCTTCTCCAGGGATCGCACCCCATGCTGAGTGAGCTTCCCCAGGATCACACCTCACGCTGAGTGAGCTTCTCCAGGGATCACACCCCATGCTGAGTGAGCTTCTCCAGGATCACACCTCACGCTGAGTGAGCTTCTCCAGGGATCACACCCCATGCTGAGTGAGCTTCTCCAGGGATCACACCCCATGCTGAGCCAGCTTCCCCAGGATCACACCTCACGCTGAGTGAGCTTCTCCAGGGATCACACCCCACGCTGAGTAAGCTTCCCCAGGATCACACCTCATGCTGAGTGAACTTCCCCAGGATCACACCTCATGCTGAGTGAACTTCTCCAGGGATCGCACCCCATGCTGAGCCAGCTTCCCCAGGATCACACCCCATGCTGAGCCAGCTTCCCCAGGATCACACCTCACGCTGAGTGAGCTTCCCCAGGATCACACCTCACGCTGAGTGAGCTTCTCCAGGGATCACACCCCACGCTGAGTAAGCTTCCCCAGGATCACACCTCACGCTGAGTGAGCTTCCCCAGGATCACACCTCATGCTGAGTGAGCTTCTCCAGGGATCGCACCCCATGCTGAGCCAGCTTCCCCAGGATCACACCTCACGCTGAGTGAGCTTCTCCAGGGATCACACCCCATGCTGAGTGAGCTTCCCCAGGATCACACCTCATGCTGGGCCAGCTTCTCCAGGGATCACACCCCATGCTGAGCCAGGATTACACCCCACGCTGAGTGAGCTTCCCCAGGGATCACACCCCATGCTGAGTGAGCTTCCCCAGGATCACACCTCACGCTGAGTGAGCTTCCCCAGGATCACACCCCATGCTGAGTGAGCTTCCCCAGGATCACACCCCATGCTGAGTGAGCTTCCCCAGGATCACACCCCACGCTGAGTGAGCTTCTCCAGGATTACACCCCACGCTGAGTGAGCTTCCCCAGGATCACACCTCACGCTGAGTGAGCTTCCCCAGGATCACACCTCACGCTGAGTGAGCTTCCCCAGGATCACACCTCACGCTGAGTGAGCTTCCCCAGGATCACACCCCATGCTGAGTGAGCTTCCCCAGGATCACACCCCATGCTCAGCCAGCTTCTCCAGGGATCACACCCCATGCTCAGAGAATGTCCCCATTCTAAATGTAAAGTGGCTTTATGCTGATTCTTTATTCCTTCTTCTGATATCCTTCCATGACAGATGAACTACCAAAAAGAAATGTCCCGATATCAGCCCCGATTGCTGCTGCCTTGGCTATTGAGTTTCTGGCTGGGCTGGCGATACTAGGAGGCCTGGCGTACTTCGCGTTTTTCAAGAAACTTGGCAGGTATGGTGACATTTCCTCTGCTACTTCCTCCTTGCTTGGGAACAGAAAAGGTTTCCTTCACCTGTCTGTCTCTAGACTGGACTTCTTCTAGCCCTTCCTAAGTGTCAGCTTCTCACTAATTCTTGGGGTTCTTAAATGTTTCCCACCCCCTAAACCCCAGTCTCTGTGGGTCATGGTCATTCTTATTCCCATGTGGCTTAGAACAGAAGACCCATTGTGTTTCCCTGCCCCACAGGAGCCACAGAAAAAAACACAAGAAGCGGCGAAAAGAACGGCGGAAGGAACGGGAACGGAAGGAACGGGAACGGAAGGAACGGGAATGGAAGGAACAGGAATGGAAGGAAGAAAACCAGCAGCAGGAGAACGTAAGAGTCAGACAGAGAATCTAGAGGGACAAGCATCAGGGTCCCCATGGGCAACCAGTGAGAAAAAAGTTCCTGCCAGTGGGAGACAAAGGGGGTGTGGTGTGAAGACAGAATGTGCCGAGCACTGAAAAGAAGAGATGTCTGGACTCGGGATGTCCCACTCCCCAGCACCAGTCAGGAAGACAGAAGACACGACAGGGTGAGAGGATCAGACACTAGGAGGGGGCCCCGTGAGACTGGGAAAGGAGGCAGCAGTAAGAGAGGAGTGGCAGCCATGGTGTGAACACACAGCAAGGACACCACGCGGCTCCCAGGAATCATCGGCTCCCAGGGTCCTTCCCAACTCAGAACCAAACACAGGTGACAGTCTCTCCTCTTCATTTAGAACCAGACGTAAGAGCATTCTCAGTGAGGACAATCGGACACCGTCCACTCACAGTAAGTAAAGGCACTGACCCTAGGGAAGCCAGAAGGTTCCACTGTGGTGATATATTATTTATGACTTATGGAAGCTTGTCTGAGGGTACAGAAGCAAAGCTAGCCACAAGCCATAGACAGGCAGTGGTGACACACACCTTTAATCCCAGCAGCCATACGAGTTAGCCATAGAGTCAGGAAGTGGTGGCACACACCTTTAATTCCAGGACTCAAGAGACAAGCAGATGGATCTCTGTTAGTTCAAGGCCACACTGTGCTACCTGAAATTGATCCAGTCCTAAAGAGAAACAGCTCACACAAAGGTGATCCCAGCACTTGGCATCACAACACCTTTAATCCCAGGATTTGAGAGGTATAAAAGGAAAAAGCAAAGGGGCCTCATGTGAAGATTTAGTCTCCAGCCATGTTCAGCAGAGGCAGCAGTCTAAGATTGCAGTCTGAGGACTCATGGAGCTAGTCAGATCACCTTTTCGTCTGAGGTAGAGGTAAGAGCTAGGGGCTGGCTGCTTTTGCTTATCTGGCCATCAGCTTGAACGCCAGTATCTATCTCTGGTTTTTTATTAATCATATTACATTCCACCACCTGCCCATCCTTCCATAGCATCCTGAACACCAGCCACTGTCTCCTGTCTGACTTACAGAGCAGATCGCATCTTCCCAGCCTCTAGTTAGAATTTTCTTTGGAACACCAGCCAGCTCCCAAATAAAGACATGGAGACTGATTCGTTATGAATGCTCCGCCTCAGCTTAGCTTGTCCCACTAACTCCTTTACCTTGATTTAACTGTTTCTATTCATCTATGTTTTGCCTCACGGATTTTTAGCTTTATTTCATCCTGTATCTCCTATTTCCCTGCTTCCTCCGTGTCTGTCTGTCTGGCCCATGGCACCTCCTTGGTGTCTCTTTTTCTTTCCGGAGGCTAAATTCCCCCTCCCACTTTCTCTCCCTGCCCAGAAGCCCCAGCTACACCTCCTCCCTTGCTATTGGCCACTCAGCTTTTTATTAGCCCAAACAGGTATCTTGGTCAGGCAAGCTAAAACAGCAACACATCTTTACATAGTTCAACAAATAATTGTGCAACACCAGCCGTCAGGTCTGTAGGTCTTCACCGCCTTCCCAGCCAGGGGAGACCAAGCCAGTGCTGAAGGGAGACTCAGTCCACCTAGGCTAGACTGGCCTGAGGGAACCACATGTCCAGGAATAAGTTCCTCACCCTCATGCCTTCCCTGACACATGTGAAGGTTGTGGTCTTTCATCCTCCCTTTCGAGACTCTCTGCTGCATGTGTGCCATGGGCCACTGTGCTCCTCCTTGTCATAGGAGCATGTCACTGATAAACACCACTGAGGAGAGGATAATCAAGGCTGTGTGAACCGGGAGACCTCCTGAACTGAATAATCCAGGTCTCTGTCCTTGTTGCCTCTCCACCGGTCCTAAGCACCTATGTCTGCAAAGGTCTCTGTAGGAGGCAAATCCTCTAACTGGCCATGGGCATCACCCGCTCAACTCCACCCCACATCGGCCACCACCTCCTGCCACCTCCTTCAGCTGCAAATCAAAGTCTTAGATCACTTTGCACTTCTGTGTCCTGGGGACACTTCTCTGGCTTCCCCAGGTCATAGCCCCCCCTCCCCGTCTGTGCCCTTAGTTCCCTGGGGCAGACAAGGGCTTCCCCTCTTTCACCCTTAGCCTGCTCACCTGCATCTGCCCACTACAGAGTCTAAAGGTGTGGAGGAGCTCACCGCTGTGTAGCTCCCAGCACAGACCAAAGGAGGAGGGGCCACGCCCTCTCCCTTGTGTCTCATGTCAGCCTGCTCTGGCCTTCAAAGGAAGGACTCCATTCTGATCAGCTCCTCTGCCCTGCGCCCTAGACCCTGATGTCTGCCAGATGGATTCAGATGAGACACATCCTATGGTGCAGGACACTGGCGGGATTCTCAGAGAATGACGGAGACATGCTCAAGAGGGAGGGTGGACATCGGCCAAAGGGCCCACAGCAGACGGGAGGCCCTCAAGGAGCGAGAGTGAACAGTGGCCAGGGACCATGGGCTGCCTGTTAAAATGGGCTGGGTGTGTCTTGTAAAGTCTCTGGCAGGACAGCCTTCCTGAGGTGTCTTTTCCTGTGCAGGACGTCACAGACCACGTGGGTTGACTCTTAAATGCGGGGACTATTGTGTTTCTCTCTGTTCTTTGCCAGAAAGCTCCAGCCACATAGTAACTTTGTATTCTTCTTAGCAATTGAGATGGTTGCAGAAAGAATTTAAATGTAGTGCCTTTTCTAAAGTGCTTGCTTGCCTGTACCTGGCCTGGGTTTAGGATCACATAAAGCAGGAACAGGGGAGCACACCTGTAGTCACAGCTCCTGGTCCCTGGAGGACATGGGGACTCCTGTTTTCTAAATAGAGGTTTTCTCAGCCGGGCGTTGGTGGCGCACGCCTTTAATCCCAGCACTCGGGAGGCAGAGGCAGGCGGATCTCTGTAAATTCGAGACTAGCCTGGACTACAGAGTGAGTTCCAGGACAGCCTCCAAAGCCACAGAGGAACCCTGTCTCGAAAAAAAAAAAAAAAACAAAAAAACAAAAAAATAGAGGTTTTCTCATGTTAGCATTTCAATAGAGTACCCACAAACACAAAAGTCCTCAAGTCAGAGGGGACACACCCACAGCGACCACATGACCTCTTCCTCCTCCCAAAACACACTTTGCTGCTACAAAGAGGGTGGCAGCCAGGACTGTGCACATCCTCGCCCACGTCTGGCTTCTGTCCACCGCTGTTCTGTGGCCCATCTAGAAGTCTCTGTTGATTCTGGCTCTGTTCTCGTTGCTGTCTCACCCTGTCCCATGGTACCAACCTGTGTCCTCCAGTGATCATGCATCAGGATGTCAGACAGCGAGTGACGAGTGTCCTGTCCCACGGCTCACGGTGCACGGAGGCCACAGCTCAGTGGTGCTAGGTCACCAGCAAGGTGAGTCTCTGACCTATGGATTGATGTCACTGACCAACACTCACACTTTCAGGTGGATGAAGTCACGTATTCCGTTCTGGACTTCAGTGCCCAGCGACCCAGACCACCAGATTCAGCCTCCATGCTCCAACAGTCACAGACATGGTTCCTGAAGTAAAATGAATCGACGGGACCCGTCCTGCTGACTACACCGTACCTTCCGCTGACTCTCACTCTTGAAACAGATGGAAAGGGGTGTGGTGGACTGGGTCTGGTTGTTACAGTGGTGGGGAAGGTGTTAGAGAATGAATTTGCCTGGTAGAGCAGGGTAGGAAGAGCAGTTCACTGAACCGTGCCACAGCTGGTGAGTCACTAGACTCACACTTGTAACAAAAAGCAATCGGCTGGGGGTAGATGATATCCCCATGCCGTTACTTTGTGTGACAAAAGTAGGTCCTGGTACACCATATGCACCATGTGGAAGAGAAGTGCAAACCCAACCATGGACAGTTCTACTAGGTTGGGGGTACTTAGGCCACGCTCACCTACAGTGTCCTCTCTCTGCCCTCACTTCTGTAAAAAAGAAACAAGCAAAAAGGCAAGTGTTCTCCTGTGAGTGGGAGTCTACACCCCTCATTCCCCCAACAGTTCAGTGGGCTCCCCAGGAAATTGACAAGCACCCTGTAATGGGGTGACAGGACACCTATTAGCTAAAGGACCCAAATACATGTAGCCATACCCCCGAGCACTCAGGAGACAGAGGTGCCTCATTTTGTAAGCCTGGCTGTCCTAGGACTCCAAGAATCTGTCTGCCTCTGCCCCTGGAGTGCTGGTATCAGAGCAGTACACTCCTTTGACATTCTTTTTTCTTTTTGTTTGTTGTTTTTTAAGACAGGGTTTCCCTGTGTAGCCCTGGCTGTCCTGGAACTCTCTCTCTCTCTGTAGACCAGGCTGGTCTCGAACTCACAGAGATCCTCCTGCCTCCGCCTCCTGAGTGCTGGGATTAAAGGTGTGCTCCACCACCGCCACCACCGCCACCACCACCGCCGCCGCCGCCGCCGCCGCCGCCACCACCACCACCACCGCCGCCGCCGCCACCCAGCTTAGGCCTCAATTCTTACCCCAGAGACCTTTCTGCATGTTTTTCTCCCCAGCTGTCACCGAGCTGCTGGCATTGCCTGGTCCGTCTGTCCTGCTTGCCAGCTTTGCATCTGGCGGCTCACTTAGGAAGCTGGAGTGTCGACTCTCCTCTGCTTCCTTCTCGCCCCTCCCCCACCCCCTTGAGCCACCCCAGCAGACGCCAGCCTCCCATCTTCTGGTCTTCTGGTCGCATCCGCACTGCCTGGCCTGGCCTTGCTGAGTTCTGAGGCGTGTTTCACCGGGCTGACTTCCCAGGAGCCCCGGTGCCCGGTGGACAGTCCCTCCTCTCACCGGCCCCTGACTAGACAGCGCCACTGGGTCTGGAAATACCATCCCTTCCGGCATGCTTTCAGTCAGGAAAAGTCTCTTCGGCTGCCCTCCTCACGGGCAGTGGCCAGCAATCCTCTGGAGCTAGCCACTCTCCTTTAGTATGTTTCATCCAAAAAGTAATCATTAAGTCAGTGTCTCATGTTCTGCCGTGACATGGCCTGGCCAAAATATCCCTCCCATAAAAAAGGACCTTGCATTTTCACAACTATGCTACAAAATAATTAATTTAGTTAAAATTAAGGGGGGTGTCTTAGAGTTTCTATTGCTGTGAAAAGACACCAGAACCACTGCAACTTTTTTTTGGAGGGGAGGGGTCGAGACAGGGTTTCTCTGTGGCTTTGGAGGCTGTAGACCAGGCTGGTCTCGAACTCACAGAAATCTGCCTCTGCCTCCCGAGTGCTGGGGATTAAAGGTGTGCACCACCAGCACCCGGCTTTCTTTTTTTTTTTTTAATTTATTTAATATGCACTGGTCTTTTGCCTGTATGTTCTATGTGAGGGTGGGAGCCTCTGGAACTGGAGTTACAGACAGGTGTGAGCCGCCATGTGGGTGCTGGCAATTGAACCCGGGTCCTCTGGAAGAGCAGCCAAGGCTCTTCACCGCTGAGCCATCTCTCCAGCCCCTGTAATCCCAGCACTCGGGAGGCAGAGGCAGGCGGATCTCTGTGAGTTCGAGGCTAGCCTGGTCTACAGAGCGAGTTCCAGGACAGCCTCCAAAACAATACAGAGAAACCCTGTTTCAAAAAAAATGTTTATTTCTAGCCTGGCATTGGTGTTTTCTTATAAGAAAAACATTTTCCTGGGTCTGGCTTACAGGTTCAGAGGTTCAGTCCATTATCATCATGATGGACAGCATGGCAGCTTGCAGGTAGCCACGGTGCTGGAGCTGGGAGTTTCTCTTGGCTTGCAGCATCCTGAGCATAGGGAACCGCAAAGCCCGCCCCCATAGTGACACACTTCCTCCAACAAAGCCACACCTCCCAACAGCGCCCTTCCCGGGAGGCAGAGTACCTAGCTTTCAATACTCTATCTCCCTTCCTATCACACGTCTCTCCGCTTGTCTGACTCCTCCCTTCAGGCGCTCCTCCTTCATAAGCCCCTCCTACAATTCTCTAGTTGGCTCCTGCAGAAAAGCCCCTTCTGTCTGGGGGGCCGCTGTAGCCCTGCGCATCATTCCAGCCAAAGCCCCCTGCTCTGACCAGATGATGAGGGTTCCGGCTTCTCCAGATGTCACATCCAGGTCCCGCCACACCCCACCGTGACTTGCTCCCACTCCCTCCCCAGCCCCGCCCCCTGAGACCTTTTCCTCCAAAGCTTCCATTGCTATCTCTCAGCTCCCCTCTGGGGCGCCCCACCCAGATCTGCCTCCAGGGTTGAAGCCAAAGCAGCTTCTCTCTCCACACTGCCTCAGTCTACTAAGTTCTGACCAGCCCCTTACTGTCAACTTGTCAAACCCCGAGTTTATGGCCGCAATAGTCATGTGAAGTAAACGGCGTCCCTCATTCATTAGGATCCATCCCCACCTTGATTCACTCTCTAAGTTACTTGTTACTGTTGACTCTAATCTATGTTCAATCCCTACATCTCTACACTGCTTCTCTGACCTGCAAGACTCCCTCGGGCACACCTGTTTCCTTCTCTACCTTCCAGAGCCACTATACCCACATCTCTCCCTATCCCGAAGCTCCCAGGCACGCGAAGCATGATTTCTTTTTCTTTTTAAGTTACGCTGACCAAACTAGCTCTTAGTCATACCCCCCTTTTACAGCAACACTCTTTCCAAAGTCCCACACTTTCTGCCCAGATACAAAGTTTCACTCTGTCCCTTGACTTTCTCAGTGGTTAAATGCAAACACAGTACATGCTGAGTGTGTTGTCACATGCTGGCAGCTGCTGGATGTGTTCCTTAGGGTTTCATGTAATCTGCCTTGACATTTTATATTCGACCTATGACATTTTATATTCGAAATGCTAAAGATATAAAGTGACCATTTTCTCTCTCTCTCTCTCCTTAGTTTTTCGAGATAGGGTTTCTCTGTATTGCTTTGGATCTGCTTGCCTCTACCTCCTGAGTGATGGATGGGATTAAAGGCATGTGCCACCAATGCCAGGCTAGAAATAAACATTTTTTTTTGATACAGGGCTTCTCTGTATTGTTTTGGAGGCTGTCCTGGAACTCGCTCTGTAGACCAGGCTAGCCTCGAACTCACAGAGATCCGCCTGCCTCTGCCTCCCGAGTGCTGGGATTACAGGCGTGCGCCACCAATGACCGGCTGAAATAAACATTTTTAAGGTGACTTAATTTTTAAAACTACATAATTTTATCAAAGGTATACAGTTCTCATTAATAGTGTATTTTAAGTGAGTATTGTGTTTGCCTGTACTTGATATTTTGGATACAGTCAAACATGTTTTCTGTATTTTATGAAGTTTCAACTTAAAATGTAATTAGTCCTAAGATTGTATAAACAAGACTAGACACAAAAAAGCCATTAAATTTAAAAGGATATTTAAAAAGTTACAATGTGTATAGTTGACTGGGATAGGAAGGGGGGTGGGTGATTTGCTTCTTTTTGAAACAAAGTCTCACTGTGTAACCCTGGCTGGCTTGGAACTCACTCTGTAGACCAGGTTGATCTCAAATGAGAGAGATCCGCCTGCCTCTGCCTCCTGAGTCCTGGGATTAAAGCCTGTGCCACCACAGCCCAGCTGTTTTGTTTTTTACTACAAACCTTCTCTTAGGATGCTGACAGCGACAGGCTGCAATTCTCTTACTAAATGAGACAAAGTTTGAAACTCCATTTCTCCAAACACTAAATTTCTTTTCCTATTTGGGGAAAACCTGAGTTTGATGAAAACTATCTCCACTTAGGACACACCTGCTGAATCACACAGGAATCACAGAACTGGTTTTGCTGGATAAAAACTTGAATCTGTTCTTAAGTTTGGCTTATTATATAAAATGGCATTGTGCCTGAGACCTTCAGTTCTCTAGACTGATAACAAGTGCCACTAATAAATTGTGAGTTTATCACAGTCAGCCCCTAAGAAGTACTGACAGGCAGATGAAGTCATTAATTGAAGATGACTTCTCCAGCACAAAGGAACAGGACTGTTCTCTTTTTTGCTGGATTGTGTCTCAGTGATAAAAGGATGTTAATTTGATTCTAATAAGACTACGGGCAGAGAGGACATTAGGTCCATATGCTACTACTATTTGTTCACTCAAACCCTCTACCGCACTTAACCACTGTGAGGAAGACTTATGTGAAGCCGCATAGTCTAAGTTAAAGTGCTTGCCTCCTTTATCTGCTGTCTTTGCTCCTTTGAAACATACAACACACACACACACATACATACACACCACACACACACAACACACACCCATACACACCACACACACATACACATACACACCACACACACACACCACACACCCATACACATCACACACACATATGCATACACACCACACACACACAGACACACATATACACACACACACAGACACACACACCACACACCACACACATACACCACACACATACACACACACCACACACACACAGACACACACACCACACACCACACACATACACCACACACATACACACACACCACACACACACCACACACCACACACATACACCACACACCACACACATACCACACACACCCCTTTGGGAGAGATGACTCAGGGATAAAGAGCACTGTCTGCTCTTGCTCAGGACTGGGTTCCTCAATTGCCAGCACCCACACTTGGCTCACAACCGCCCTGTAAACCAGTTGCAGGGGACCCAATGTCTTCTGACCCCTGAAGACACATAAGTGGTACACACACACGTTCAGACAAAACTTCT